CATATAGCTCTGTTTTAGGAATAACAAGGGGAATTGGAACACAGGGTTGACTTGCAGCTTTTTCTCAGTTGACAGCATTTTCTCTTCGTTGAGTGTCTCTATAACTTATTTGAGAAGCAAAAATAAATATTTTTTCATGAAAAAGAGAAAATAATAATGATAATAATAATAATAAAAACAGTGCATCTTTGTTAATTTGACCACAATTTTTCTGTCTGATAACATAATTTTTACTTTTTTTATTTGATTTAATATAATGATGGTGTGTTTCTGCCTATTGCACTTAATACCTTTCAGGTAATCAGTGTTTGTTTGTAAAGTCCAATAGAGTTTTTTGCACACTTTATTTGTAAGATTATTGTACTAGTTAAGGTCCTGCCACTCAATAATATTTTAGACAACTTATTCCAATTTATGAAAAAAAAGTCTAAATTACTAATAAAAGTTATATTTTGATCAATTTGTTAGTATTACAGCGTGTAAACATCTAAAAGAGGCTTTCGGTTGTTTGTTTGTTTTTTTTATTCCATCTTAAACATATATGTCTTTAACATTTTCATAAATTGGCATATGTTGTATAAAATTTTATTGTGTCACAGGGCATTTATGTGACAGGAGAATTAGGGTAATAAACATTAAACATAATCCAGACTTATGACAACCCAGACAGAAGCTGTCAAGATTTTTTCCATTTAAAAGAAGAAAAAAATAAAGGTAATTCCATGAAATTCAAAATTATTTCCAGTAATGGGGGACTTCTTGTGTCTGCAACATGCTATTTTTTGGAATTACCAACAACATTAGCCTCATGCAGTTCTACTATTTTGTTTTGCTTCTGTTTACTCTTGCAATAGATCTACTATACACACAGGAAATATAACATTAATGAACATATGAGAAATAAATGAAGTTTAATGGTGTGTTTCTAGATAAATGTCTTGTCTGTGCAGCGATAAAGAATGTTTTGAAGTATCACCTACAGTACGAGGATAAATAGGTTGCTGAAAATCCATGTATTTGCTACCAAATGGAAATGATTCTCTGCCTTTCAGTCATCTGGGGAGGCAGGCAAGATGAACAACACACTTCTGGATCTCAAGTGGGATCTGTATGCATGTGATGTGATGGCAAAAAAGATGAAGAGTGTTGTGGTGGAGAGGCTCAAGAAATCAGAAGATGGAAACATGTTTTAAATATTACCACGTTTGTCTGCCTGTTAATCACATAATGAGTCTCTGTATAGTTATTTGTATTCGCATACTTCTACCTTGTCACATATTTTTACCACCTATTGTTCCATGAAATGAAGCCCATTTACGAATCACTCTGTTTCTGATTTGATAAATGCAACTGGCAAATGGGTGAGACCGCTGAATGCCTTGTTTGAATAATTGAGCAGTACTCAATCAAACAGCATTAAGCAGTGGTGGCAGCCGTGCCATCTGAAATAATTACCACCCGACAACAGAATACACATTAATGCTGTCTCCACAGGGGTTCCTCATTTTGAGAACAACAGATTAGAACACCACCACCTCAGCCCCATGTTGCACATGCCATCATGTTTACCACCCACAGATGACTGCAGAGACTTCTCAGGGGGGAGAGGGAAGGCAGGGGAACACCCACAGCAGTGAGGAGGTTGGAGAACCGCTGCCATTAATGCATACTGTCAGGACTGAATAAATCACAGCCAGAGTAGCAACAGTGCTGATGGCTTTGACCGTGCTTCTACAGCCTTTCAAACTGACAGCTGCTCATTAACAACACATTGGGTGTAATAAGTTATTCACTTCTAATTTATAAAGACATAATTCAGTGTTTGCTACATTACAAACAAACCAAATTATATATATATATATAT